CGTTATTGTTGATGTCGCTAGGGCCGTTTTTTCCGATCACACCGTTCCACTTTCCAGCCTCTACTCCGACATATGCGTTAAAATCGCCGGTGAATATGAGGGAATGTCTTCGGCACCAGACAGAGCACACGGCACTTACTTAAGGAAGATATCATATTCACTCTAAATTGGGCGCATAGAAAAAACGGTCAACGCTTTAGCCAGCGATAACTTCAGTCAGAGGATCACCACCCTTCCGCTGTTAGGCTTTCAATCAATGACTTTTTCAGCGAGGTTAGGTTCTATCCAACACCTGTCTTAGCGCGTGTCGTGATATTTGCATGATATCAATCTGAGATACCATTTCTAAAGGTCTGACATAGATCTGGGTTACTCTGCTGTTTAAACCATAGTAACCCCTGATCACCATAACACAACAACAACTTTCGTACCACGCCTTCAAGGGCAGAAAGCATTAAAGCAGCATATTGATTTGGCCTAGACTCTAGACAATAAACCGTGGCTAGTGATGTATCAAAGTTGACCCAGAATCTGAAAATTCCTATACCACTCACTGCTTTATGAAAAGCATATTAGAGATTAAGACAAAAATCACGAAAATACATGTTTGAAACATGCTATTCTGTCTTCATAACATCAAGTAAAAGTTAAAGGCTCAGCGGTGCGCAACGACAGTTGACCATCATCTAGATCAGTAGGTTCTATTCTTATAATTCAGTATTTAGTAGCACCGAAATCTGATATAAGCGATTAATATTAATTCGGAACTGAAATGTAAAGCTTAAAAACACTTGCTACAAGTCTTGCTTTGCAGTGTCTATAAGAAAGAAAGGATTTGAAATTATTTGATGAATAAATGCCTGTGAGAACAAAGCGAATATGTTACCCGAATAAAGCCAAAAATAAGCAAAATTACAATCAATGGCTGGATTTTGCAGTCCCAACGAAAAACAACTGATTTTCCGCCATTTTTGCAGATTTTTGCAAAAATTTAGGAGTCAAAATTTTCACCCATGTTTGAGCTGTTCAGTGAATTGTCTAAAAATTCGATGCTCGATGAAAACGAGGTAGAGCAACAGTGAGCTGCGGGCTTTACGTCATTTGACTAAGCTTGAAACCGACCCAAAAATTCTGGAATTTGACAGCGTGTTTATTTAAGGATGATACTCCCGCCATCGTATAATAGCTTTATGCATTGGTAACATCCTGAATCTTATACCATTACTGCCATACTCTCGGGAACTGATTATTCAGATTTTCGCCTTGTATTTCGCAGCTAACTCGCAAATGAAAGTTGTTCAGCTACACTGTGCCTTAAACGCCTTAAAAATCATTAGACCAGTAAATATACATGTTAAATAACTCAAAATTAAGCAGCAATTAGCGAACTATTGAACTCAAGCTGCTACAAGCAATTATTTTAAATACAAATCCCTATTTAGCGCTAAATCGATCGACCATATATAGCAAAGCTGCATCTGGAACGTCATTGGAGCTATGTTGGTGCTGCCGGAGAAAATAGAAGCTCCTGAGATACATCGACGCAAAAAATCTGTTTCATCAATAGGTACTGCCTGTTGCACTGCACTATGAAACGAAAAGGATTGCCCTTATGCTAGATAAGGATGTAGCTTGGATTGTTGTCGCACATGTTATATGCGTGACTGTAGCTGCACAGGAGGAAACGGAGAGAAATGGAAAGCGGGACATACGATTTCCTTCCTCAGAGCAGACGAAAAGTAGTTAGTTTCATTGCAGGCAAAACAGCACTGAAACGGTTGAAACAAAACTTTTTTTTCGTGTTGTCGACCATGGAACGAAAAACCTATTAACTTCAACTCCTCACACGCCTCAAGTCTACCACTGAGAGGAAGACAGGTAAAAAGAATTTACTGAACTGAACTCCAGTGACGAAGTAAAATACACTATAACAAACAGCGCGCAGCAATTTCGTCACTTTCTAGGAAAGGGAACAGCCACGTTATGTTTCGTGAAGTTTTTTATAATTTGATCGGTTGAAATTGATCACAGAGGGTATTGCACAAATAATCATGTTTGACAATTGTAACGGTATTGTTAAAACTGTGTCTTACTTGGATGAGAGTAAGGTATGTAAAGTACGTTAAGGCTTATTTATCGCGTAATTGCCGTAATCGATTAGTATGTTGTTTGTTATTCGCTTTTATGGCAACTGGTTATATTTGACTCATGTAATAGTATATTTGACTCACATAATAGTTTAATGATATTTGAATTAAAAAATGCTGTGTATTGTTCGTTCCTGACCAAAATGCTGTATTTGTGGCAGATTTATCTCAGTCAACCACGAGCGACTGATTGGTAGAAACGGAACAGTTTCGCGATGCCAGTCGAAGTAACAGCCGTTCTGACCAAACGATGCGCAGTTTATCATTCTGGCGAAACTGTGGAATGCACGATCTCACTGCACAATAGTAGTGATCCGTCAAACGGTCCGTAAGTGAACTTAGTTTTTGCGTTTATTATATGTGCTTGACTTGTTTGGTGCAGTGTCGAGACTCTGGCCTGGTGCAGCGCCCAGATTCTTTGCCAGGAGATTCTGAATAGCAGAAAGGTAAACAAGATCAAAAGCTCTGAAAGCTTGTCTCAGTCCGACATCGCTTCGCATGGAACCTCCTTTCTGCCGTCTAGGGGTATCGACTGAGGTGAAGCGGTAACATTCGTACTAAAAACAGTGCTTTATAGGTGAATGCGGCTCCACCGTGTATTCATCGAAGCCAGTGATTCTCGGCTGCGACGTACAACTACTTCCGGGGCAGACGAAAATATGTAACGTTATTTTTCCCATTTGTTGGATTTGCGGTCATCCCCCTGATGTTTAGTGCTGTACGAGGACAACCTGCCGCTCGAAGGTATACCTCCGTCGTACAAAGGAACTGCCGTTAAATACTTGTACAAG